AAGGATGGACACACGGGGATCGTTCCTAGTGCCCGTGGACATATCATGGGTCAACGTGATGGTCTCAACAGCTCCACTCAAAGCTGTTATTCCATATAGGTTTTTGAGGGTTGTTAATCCATATAGGGTTTTTAAGGTTGTGTGCAACATTGGAAATTACGCATATGTGGTTGCCTGGCGGCATCAAAGGAGCAATAGTCACTGAGATTGCATACCAAGTGAGATGTTCATGTGCAGAAGCCTTGGAGATTTTTCCATACCCGTGTGCAAGCAAATAATGAGCATCAGGATAAAATGGAGGCACTTATGCTCAAACGTTGAAGATCAATGTTGATGGGACGAAACAAATAGTGGATAGACTGTTGTGGCGAAGGATCACTCTGGTGTCGTGATTGAGACGAGAGAAGACTGCCGGGAGTTTGTCCATGACCCATTCATAGTTGAGTTATGCGTCATGGAGGAAGCAATCAACACGGTGACATCCATCAATGCAATTCGCAACGTGGTGGGATGGATGCTCATAATAGAAGATATTGGACTCATACCCAGTGGCTACTCAAATTAAAACCTTAAGGTCCAGTTGAAACTTTGGTTTGCCTCATGTTTTGTTATTCCTTGTCGTAGAGGTCCCAATGTTTTGGCCTCTGAGATGGACCAACTTTGTGCCATATGAATCCTGGTGACTATTGTACCTGGGTGGATCATGTACTAGCTAGCGTTGATGTCCTTTGTGAATATGTAGTAAAGCTTTGCTTTAACATTGATAACATTCAATGATCATCCTATAATGAGATTCTTGTTATTTTCATGTTAACAATGGCGAACCAAACACCTTCTAAATATACATAATAGTGGGGTCATTATTTTGTCGCACTCGGCAGTGAAAAAAATGGCTTGAACGTCATCAAGAGTCCGATTATTGCCACCATATTCAAGAAGATGAAAAGGATCTGGTCACCTGTATGTCACATGATAAATAAAATAAGTATATTGCCTGATAATATGTACCCGATTCCATTCAGGTTAAAGCAAAGGTAAATGCAATTAGTATTGATTGGAAAAGAGTGTGTTTACCTGGTAAGAACAACCCCGTTGTGTTCTTCTGAGCCCATGAAAACCTACAAAAAGAAAAGAAATAAGTTAATTGGCTAGGAAACACACTTAGCAAAGAAGGAACTAGAGGGATTTCTACTCACAAAAGAAAAGAAACATTGTACTTACAGAACTCCTGCTGCTGCTGGACCTACTGCTTTGAAGATTGACATCAAAGTAACACTGATACCATTTGCAACACCCCTTTGTTCTTGCCTCTATACATTTTCCATCAAAGAAGTTAGAACATAGCGAAAGTGGGTCAAAGAAAATGCCATGAGGCTAATACAATTGCAGGTATATATGATAGTTATACATACCACCACAGTGTTCTGCAGAATATTGCACGCAGTCGTAATCGTTGCCTGTTTCATTTAAGATACACATGAAAATATGTTCACGATAGATTATCTATTAAGTCACTTTCCACCGTCCTTGTTTCTATAAGGGTAATTTTATTTCATTTGTACGAGGGTGCTTGAATATGGATTCTCCAAACCTCCCAAAAATTGTAATCAACAAATTATTATTTTTCTTTTTGAAAAGGGAAATATGGTTGATCTTCTTACATCTGCACCAAGATGATCAACATGTTTGCATAAGATTTTGGTTTAAAAAGATCAAAGCTTTCACCCCTACCTCATGTCTTACTTTTTTATACTATACATACACGTATAGAACCAAAAATATTTGTTTAGTAGGGTAACTAAAATATATTTATAGGATGGGTTTGTATGTATTTTTTTAACCCAACGATGAACACCCCTAGTTTGTACTTTCACTTTCAATGAAGAATAAAAAATAATAATATATTAATAGTTTTGCTTTGATCATAAAAGTGAACTTACTGCAAACATATTTTTTAGAAGCGAAGCTATATTGATGAGTACTTTGAGCTCCACACCATATAGGTTGGCTATGAATGGATATGTTGCAACAAGTAGTATAGATAATACCTGGAAAAACAAACATGCATTTAGTATTGTACAATAGTTTTGTGATATTACAAAAGTATCTCAACATAAAATGTTCTTCTCACATACCGCTGCAGAACGGAATGGCTTGATTAACCCGGCATACTTGGCAAGGAATGGATAAATCACGAGTTGATATACAAAAATACCAATACCTACAATATCAAGCGAAGATGATCATAAGGTAAAGAATTCAAAACAACAACTACATATAATGTGTAAAGTAGTCAGTTTACTTATGTACGCATCTTTTTGCTGACTATGTCTCTCCCACAATCAACATACTATACAATGCAAAGAAACTACACATACCCGAGATAGCTAGCACAGTACCAACATCCTCAGATGTAAAATTTAGTCCCCGGTATTTTCTGCTGCTCACAGCCCACAGTGAAAATATCTGAACATGGAATTTACATAGACAATGAACACGTGAAGTTTCTTGAGTTCCGCAATTGAATGGTTAGCTATAGTATATATAATATTAGCACTTGCATCTTTTCATATTGAAATGTTGTTGAATATGTTGAAGATACATAAATATAGATTTACCTCGATATAAGCGGTATCATAGAGAGAAAACACACAGTAGAGGGTAATTGCTGACATCAATTGCCAGTTCTTTAACAGGCTCATTGTAGATGTGAATCTCCCTGATCTACATTGTATACCTTTCACATTTACTAAGTTTGGATCAACAACTTGTGCCTCCATTGTATCAATGGCTTCTACATTGTCATCATGGTGCATGTGCAAAGTTTCCTAAAAAAATAATTTTTTAAGTAGGAATTCAAGGGAGAGAATGTATCATAGAGAGATGTACAGGGCAAGGGGCATACCGGAAGCCAAATGCACGCAACACATGCTCCTGCTGCTAGAACTGATATAAGGAAGCAAGGGAGGAAGTATGGAAACCTAAAGGTACATGTAACTGAAAGGTTATCTTGGTCTAAATGATGCAAATATTTATATCATTGTAATAGTATGAGTAATAATTTACCTTCCAAATATGGATTTCTCCGAAAAAATATTGGGATACTTCTTTGCAGGCTGATACACGATAGAGAATTCTCAATGCCAGTTAGTGTACATGAGTAAAGTCTCGAAAGGGAGAGGATATGTTCATCCTTCCAAACGGTTATTACTTTAAATCATTAAATATGAATTCAGCTAAATCCCACTTAGAATAAAGCATTTCTGAACCTTGCAATTTTCATTATGAAACCATGATATGGAAGTTTGAGATCAACCAAGGAGACATATAGCCACAATTAGAAACCTCACAAACTAAAAAACAAATGAGAAAAAACACATCATGGCATATTGCCGAACACAAATACATGCCAAAGCAAGTTCCTTGTTACCCATACATCGGGAGCTACCAAGAGATTCTTCGCACACAAGAAATTCTAAACATTAATGAGTAGAGGAGCATAGTTTCAAAGAGATAACTTTGTCAAGGGATATGACTGACGTTGTCTAGATTTTCATCCAAGAATCATGTATCGGTACCCCATAGTCACACCTTCAGGTAGAAAATGTTGAAGAGTGCCATCTAGTCGGTCTAAATAGCCAAGCCTAGATTTTCACCTAGATAGCGAGTACTCCCTCCTATCCATATTATTTGTCGCTCAAACGGATGTATCTAGATGTATTTTAGTGCTAGATACATTAGTCTGAATGACAAGTAATATGGATCGGAGGGAGTACATGAATTGCCGATTGAGACCTCAATGCCACCATTGTTGGATTGGATCCAATCAAAGACTATACCACCACTCCATGTCTTAACTAGCACTCTCTCATTTGATAATTGCCATTATCACTCCGCGATCTGCCTAGTGGATGACGCAAGTTACCCAAACGCAAGTTGATGCTGACTAAAGGGTACACATATGAGATTGCCAAATGTCTTGTTGAAGGGCCTTGATATGAGAAGTACAAAAATTCAATTAAACTAGAAGGAGCCAACCAACACAAGACACACCCTACGCTGCAACCTACAAAAACATGTCATTGCCACCATCTGCTGAAATCACAGAACCATTGCGTTCTCCACTACCTATTAATGGATGCTCATGTCATGGTCGCCTTTATGATCCGTAAGCGTTGCGCTGATTGGTAGCCTCACATCCTTATCTCCACGCATCTCCCTCACACGACCAATGAGGAAGAAAGACAAGGAAGGAGAGTCCATGTGCGTGACGGTCTCATGAGTGAAGGTGAGAGGATACAATGGTGGCTAGTGGTGGCTTGCTAGGGGAAGCCATAGTTTCTCATGGGTCCCATGTGGACGACTGGGAGAGCGGTGTTTCTTATTTGTGGGTGTTGACATTTTTGCACCAACTAGTATATTATCTATTATTTTAAGTTATATATTATGGCTACATACATTTGTAGCCTCTTAATTAATGAGTTATGTAGCAATGACCTTCTAGGACTGCCATATTCAACATCTGCTCTATGCTCCCGGATCTAACTTGTCGTTAGTTTGATAAACTTGTTAAAATGCAACATTAACTACACAAGAATTTTTTTCATTTCCATATTTCTACTGAAAGTGGATTGATCCTCACCTCGGAAAGAAATCCTCCGATGGCTGGTCCAATAACAAAAGCTATTGCTCGCGAAGATGTAACCTACATATAGTGTCGCACATAAGTGTACAGTTGTTTACAATGATATAAGCATTATAATCTAAGCCTTCAAGTAAATAAAAACAGACAACCAGAAACACAAAACAAAAAGGCAAACTATTCGGAATCACAACATTTTTGCAACCCCCAAACCTGTTAAGCTCGCTTGGGGCGAACATGGGCGACCCCCCTCCAACACCACTGGCCTCCCCATGATAGACCCTCGCTACCATTGTCGCTGCCCTCAATGGCATCGATGATAGTCTTAGTCTTCCCAAGGGGTGGGGCTCTACCCAACACTTTTCACATGGTAGAGCCGGCGAGCTAGGATGGTGGCCCTGAATTACCAGATGGTGTCTCCTCATAGTCATGGGGGGCAGAGTGGGAGGCGAGGCCATCGGTGTGTAGCTAAGAACTGAGGGTTATATAGGAGCAACATTGCATGGTGAGTGGTGTGGATGTCGGTGGTGTGACATTTATGGGCCCTTGGTAGTGTGCTTTCCTCTATGGACTTGGATACCTCCCCTCCTAGTGTTCCACTATGTACCAACATGGGGATCCTCCAACACTTTTGGATTTGGAGCGAGCGAGCTTGGCCCCACCCATCCAGATTTGTAACGGGTGGGATACATGAAGGTGTTGTTGGATGAGACCTCGCTGGTAGGAGACGAAGATTCCAGGGCAACACAGTTTCACTATGAAAAGGCCCACTCAATATGATAGTGGATCCAGGAAGTAGTGCCATGGCTCCTCACTGTATGGTGGTGTCTCTCGGCTTTATGGGCATTGGGGTCATCCACCCGGCTCATAGGATAGGTCAACACACATGGATAAGGAGTCAAACCTAGGTCTTAATTGACAATCAAGGTCCGCGGGTAGTCTTCATACACAGTTTGGGTTGTAGGACGTGTAGAGTGTGCAATGTTGCATTTTGAGTATGAGCGAATGAACTCAAGGTGGAAACACCCTCGGCGGTTTGCTAGGCCACTTTGGAGCGTATATCTGGTGTGATGGTATGGGGGTGGGAGGCAACTCTTCACCGGGTACGCCTTTTGCTAGGAAGAGCGAGGTGGTGCCTCTAGTGAGTGGTGTGGCAGACTACCCTTGCAACAACCCAGTAATGATTGTGGCACCTGATGTGATTGTCATGGACTTGATGCTCATCCACCCATTGGGGTCTCTTTTCTGGTGAAATATTCCAAACTTGACTTCGCCGATTTGAATAGTAGCGTCATGATCAATGTGATGTACTTCTTGGAGACATTGTTTTTGAGTGGCAAACCTTTGTGGCAGGCAAGGCAATATTGGTGGAAGATCATCACCTTTGGATATAGTAGGGTGTGTGATCTACATTGGCAGGGGTGTCAGGGCTTGCCATCTTCTATGATGGTGGAAGGGTTCATGTCTGCTTCCTTTTGGTTTTGGCTTCTCTCCCCATCGGTGAAGAAGTTGTGGTTGTGGTTGGTTGGCGTTGCTACATACCTAGTTTTAGATAGGGTTTGTGTGTTTTCATCAAGTTTTAATTATCGAGGATTGTGTGGTTTTGGGGTCCGGACTCTCCCGTATTTCCTCTTAATGAATAGCTAGGGCTCTTGGTGGTTTCTTAAAAAAAAGATGAACAATTCTTACCAGAGAAATTCCAAGAGTTTGGTGCTCTATCCTGCAGACTTCCGAAGCATAGGCCTAGGGAATGCATACACAACCATGAGAGTTCAACAACTAAGTATCATTCGCTTAGTTAATCATAGTAACTACACAATCAATAAATTACCTTGATTGGTCCTAGTATACCACAAAGTAACCCAAGTAGCCCCCTAGTTACAATTGCCATCCAGTAAGTCGTGCTAAGGCCGAACAGGGTGTTAAATATGATCCTGAAATAGAAGTAGAATAAGATTTACTTCGATTTAATTGACCGTAGAGAAATATATTTCCAAACTATGCATGAATCTGCCATACACTGAGAGGATACTGATCACAATGCAAGGCTTCCTCCCATATTTGTCAGCAAACATGCCCCATGGCACAGCACTAATAGTTCTTGCAAGGAAGTAAGTAGCCCCTAAACACATAGAGTATAATGTCAGTCATTATTAATCGAAAATAATCGTTGTCACGTAAGGCTATCAAAGTCTACTACTCTACTTAGTGTACTTGTATTTCATTTCCTTCTTGTTTCTTCCTTTGTTGTCAAACCATGAGAAGGGGCAATGCTCACCGACAAAACCAGCATAGAACCCGATATCTTGTTCTTGCTTTGCGACTTTCAAGTCTCTAATCTATTGCAGCATAGCAAAATTCAGCATACAATTAGTCGGCATTAGGCGTAAGAATTTAAACAATAACTTCACTGAATATCATTAAGATAAATGTTGTGAACTATAACAACATCTCTGCGTACCATAAAGTATAGATAGGGGAACAATGAATGAATTGGTAGTGCTGGAAAGACAAAAAGAAAACAAGGTATTAGTTTGGGGAACAATGAATGAATTGGTAGTGCTGGAAAGAAAAAAAATAAAACAAGGTATTAGTTTGGGGGAACAATGAATGCTGGAAAGACAAAAAGAAAACAAGGTATTAGTTTGGGAGCGTTGACCTAGTTTGATGTAGTTGAACAAAAACAAACAAGAGGGACATATTCAAATTTGTTTAAGAAGGTGACAAATATATGATTTATATAAATAAATTGTAAGAGTATAGGAAAAAACCATGAATTAAATGGTAAGGACATATGTTTGGGACTACCTCCTAAAGTCCTTTCCAGGCCGATCAAGAGACAGTAACGACATGTACTACTACCTACTCCCTCTGTAAACTAATATAAGAGCGTTTAAATAATTAAATAGTTATCTAAACGCTTTTATATTAGTTTACAGAGGGAGTACATAATACTACAAGGACAAATCCTTGTGTGCATGCCGACACACGGTATACAAAACTAAGACCATGAAAATGCAAGGTGTTTAGAAAAGTGTTTGTAAAATTAAATTATTATTTTTCTCCGATGCTTATTTCGATGTCAGAGGTTCCTAAGTAAGAGCATATGCTTACAAATAAGCACCGATGCTTGAAAAAATAACCAGTTTGTTTTTGTAAACACCTTGCATTGTATATGGCCTAAGACACTACTGTACTCGCCGACCAGACCCGACCCATCGCCCGGACTAGTAGTTTTGGGCATATAGACTAAACACACACACACTCTCTTAACTTAATTGTTGTGTGTTTATCTTTACGTTGGTATTTATTTTCTCATCGATACACACAAACTGACTGACACGACTAACATGAGAACATACACTTAGTTCAGACTCTATTGGGCACCGTTCAGCGTCGTCCATCTACACAAAGTTCAGCGTCGTCCATCCAAAAAAACAAACAAAGACATGACTCTTAATTAACCGCTTCATCATGAGAGCAACCTCAGTTCCTCACAACTTGACACTATTGGGCACAGTGCTGATACACCTGCAATACTAGTAAGGAACTTTAGACATGTCAATACTTCTTAGCATCGCCTTCAGTACGCAAGGACATCAGTTGATTTTCTTCCTTGCCTTGTTTACATCGATCAGTTCAGTGTCAACATGTCCCTCTCACCTCTATCGCTGACATTGTCGTCGTATTTGCCAACGACCGGAAAAAACATTTTAGGGATGATGCCCCCATCTTTGATCTGAGGTCTTTTTTTTTTAGTCAGAGAGCTCGGCTGGATTACCTCAAGAAAGCTGATATTTTTAGCTCGTTATAAGAAAACGAGTTTAGAAAGTTGATTTTTCGAGTACCCAGCAAATTTATAAATTTCCAAGACACACACACACACAGGCAAGATAATTGCCCGTGCATTGCAATATGAAACAAATACTTCCGCAATCACCATGATTTACTATTGTTAATTAATGTGATTACATATTAAAGTTGGATTTTAGGTGCCGATCAAACAAACCATCATTTTATTTGCTATGTGAATCGGAATTGGGACGGTTAGGGCAGTTTTGGAGGGAAGCCGGTCGAAAATAATAAGCAAAACCGACAGGGGAGGTGGAGTGGGAGGTCGGACGAAAAAAAATAACATAAGACCAAACCATAAATATTTTTAAGTATGAGAGATATGCTAGTACATACTCCCTCCGTCCGGAAATACTTGTCATCAAAATGGATAAAAGAGGATGTATCTAGACGTATTTTAGTTCGAGATACATCTTTCTTTATTCATTTTGATGACAACTAAGAAGAAGAAGAAGAAGAAGAAGAAGAAGGAGAAGAAGAAGAAGAAGCAGAAGGAGAAGGAGAAGCAGAAGGAGAAGCAGAAGGAGAAGGAGAAGAAGAAGGAGAAGGAGAAGGAGAAGAAGAAGAAGAAGAAGAAGAATTTCGGACGGAGGGAGTAGATCATCAGTCAGTACTTAAGAAAGAGTAAGACATATAGGCCGCCAACGGGCTAGCTGCTCTGCCCTGCGTCGCTTCCTCTGGGGCGATTGGGAACCCTAGCTTCCACCTTTCCTTTCCCCGCTTCTTTTCCCTTCCTCGCCGCCCGAATGAGCCAATGGGCTCACGATGACGGTGACGACAAGGCATTCTTGCTTTGATATGATGGTGTTGATTAGGGGCCTAATCCTGGTCAGCAGTGTCCGACTCGGCGGTCAGCAGCGACTGGTGTGAGGCGGCGGCGAGGGTAGGCCAGGTCCAGACACATTTGGCCCCAAGCTAGCGTGAGTGTGACGCTGCTGCAGAACCTCGCCTGGACAAGGCGACTGGGCTCGATACAGCATGTATGCGTGGTTGTGTGAGCCAAAGGCGGCGACAACGCTTGGCCAGGGGACACGCGCACATCGGCTGGGACGGCGTTCCCTTGCCGAGTCGACGGCAGTGATCCTCTTTGTTCGGCGGTGTGACGACCACTTGTGGCGGCTAGACGAAGGATTAATTGTACATCGCAGATCTGGGTGTCATCTAGATCACGTGACGACGTGCTTTGGAGGGGAAATGCGCGAGTTTTGGGGTCATGAGGCGGGGCTCAATGGTGGTAGCCTCGGTGGTCAAAGAGCACTTTCTGCCGGCGTCTCCGCAAGCACATTTCGATTATGGCGATGTAGGTAGCCTCTGGTGTGGCTAGCCTCCTTGGTGTTTTGGTGCATGTGGTGGCATCGACGCATGCTCTCTCATCCTATTAGCATGGTTTGTCACTGGCTTTCTGGCATGGGCGTGTTTATGGCTGGTTTGGAGTTCATCGGTGTTCAAGCCTCCTCCGGTCCTCCCAAGGGGCTCGTCGAGGTGGAGGGTTTCGGGTCTGGGCGATAGCCTTGGCCGATGGGGGTCAGTATCATCGATGAAGGCGTCCATGGGCGTCTCTGTCCTTCTTGGAGGCGTCATCGAAGAGGTCCCCCAAAAGCAGAGCTTGGTTGGATCTGGGCGGCAACCACTGTCGGCATGGCTGAATCCCCTCCCTAGGGGATGATGGAGTGATGTGCTTTTTCAGCAAAAGTCTTGTCTCCGAGGAGTGACTCATGTTCCCGGGGGTGGTGGTGTCGCTACACGATCCATAGGGGCTTATATTTTGGACGGACGAATTTATTTTTTATAGCTAATAAAATATGACCACAACCATGCAATGGAAATATAGAGTGCCACTTGTTCAGTAGCTCTTTGTAAATGAAAGAGCAAGTAGGTAAGAAACGTTCGTCCCATGCAGAGCCAAGAAACGCAAACGAAATGGAGTGGTTTACACTTACTAGAGCAGAGGCAGACGATCCAGATGTAGCAGAAGTTGAGGTAGGGGATGCCGGTCTTGGTCTTGTTGATCTCATCCAGCCTGCACCCGGGACACCCCTTCTTGCAAAGCTTCATTCCCCTCAACAATGGCGGTGCCGCAACCGCAGCAGCAGCCTCGCTCTTCTCGTCTGATGGCCAAGAAACGAAATTTGGATTAGCTCGGTCTGCTATGTTCAGTCGAGTCTACTGCGAATGTTCTGCATTTGTGCGATCTCCATGACATAGTTAGCTGTGTTCTAATCTCAAAATTTTACATGTTGCCTCGCCTGATGCTTTCTTAACCTTTGCACGTGGATCAATACTATACTGGAAAATGCTGCATGCATGCATGCGACTCTAACACGGGAGATATGTTGTCGAAACAGAAATGCATGTTCAAAAACACAGAGGCAAAGAGGCAACGAACACGACGAACAGTTTATGCACGTACATTGCTTCTTCGTCTCAAAACTTGATACGGCCTCCTCCGACCGACTCGGCTCTTTCATCCTGTTTGACAGCTTCTTCCACCCTGGGCTACCACACAAGAGGACGTGACCGCTCTTCAGTTTTATCTATCTTCTCTCTCTCGCCTTCCCAAATCCTTGTGGAGGGCTACAACTTATAACCTTCTCGCCTTCCTGCCATGGCAACGGCCATCTCCAGCATTTCCCCTTGGTTTTCTCTATGTGTGCGTTGTCTTCCTCGGAAAATCAATCAAAGTTTTTGGACTCGACGGCCAGCCTGCTTCGGTGTGCTTGCCTGGGAGACAGATTGGATCGGCCAGCACAGGGAGCGAAGCTAGAGCTAGAGGATGACGCCATTGGGGGTCAGCTCCTTTGTTTGTGAGAAGCGACAAAGACTAAATTAGTGAATGGAATCCAGTGGATTCACTTGGATCCAACAATCGTGTACCAGATTCCCCGCCAAGGTTTTCATCATGACGCTACGGGTCGTGGTGTTGATACGTCATCCCTAACTCACATCGATCTCAAACCACCTGCTAAATCCTAATCCCTCAAAACACAGCCGCGCATGAAACGCAAGGTGTACGCACGGGGAACACAGGTCATTAGGCTGTTCAACAGCGAGAGGAAGTCGACTGTCATTAGGCTGTTCAACAGCGAGAGGACGTAGATTGTCACCGTGACAACCTCCTCCTGCGCTGGAAATGGTGAGGCGGCGGCTGCCACCGCGACCTCCTCCCGTACCTCGCCGAAGTGGCCACCGTTGGGCACACAGCTGGATTCCCCACCACCACGACCTGCGCCACCGCCTCCCCCTCCGGGCAAAACTGACAAATTTAACCTTAAAGCAAAAGTATTTCACAAACTAAACTGTTTTTAAAAATAATTCACACACCGCTGTCCTTTTTGTGCAGAGCCTGACAGCTAGACGGTGCATTCTACTGTGCAGCTCCTTATAGGTAGGTGTTACACAGTGTAGTGCAACGTCTAGTTGTCGGGCGCTGCACAGGTGTGGGCCTGAGTGTTAGACGTTGAACAGTAGAGTGCAGCACCCTGTTGTCAGACGCTGCACATTAGGGGTCAGCTGGGTGAAATACTTTTAAATATAGTATTCGCCCTGAGATCAAATTTATTCTTTTACCACCGCCTGAGTTGTGTCAGATTCAATAGATATGTATACCAGTATAGCAAATTAGTATCATGTAAATAAATGGAATCCCAGTGTCAACACTCGGAGTGATGAATGAAGGTGTAATTGTGTGGATTGTTGTCCTCAAGTGTCAACATTCAAACTGATGAATGAAAGTGGATTTTGAAGGATGATTTTGGCGTGTGTGTGTACATAATCATGGAGCATGCTGCGTAAAGTGGAGGCGCTGTGCCTGAAAAAGTAGGGACTAGCTAGGGGTACGTTGACTGAAAAATTAATTTGGGTCAGTCGATCCGTTTCAACCCTCCTCAGATGCAAAATGAGCAGCCAGATTGTTCTCTTCAACCTTCGGCCACATCTCTGGTTCATTTTCTTCGGTGAAACCGCCACGGGTACCACCGGCCTAGCCGCCGTCCTCCGCCACCCGCGACCGGCGGCGCTCTCGTGCCAGCCTGGCCGCCCCGCCCTTCCCTCAACCACCGCCCATCACTGTGCTTCGGTCGCCCCGGACATCCCTCTAGCCCTGGCGATGACCGGTTTTTCTCCGGCGAACTTGCACCACCTAACACCACCCCACCCCCACCCTAAGATAGATGATGTGCTAGCTTGCCAGCGAGCTTCGTCCTCCACTCCGGTGGCTTCTTCCCTCCCTCCAGCGCCTGCTTTCTTCTGGCGAAAATCGACTAACCTAAATTGGGTTTTTAGGCGACTGACATTTAGGTATTGTGGAAAAATTAAGACTGATCACGTAATGTCTGGAATGAAAGAAAAGAAGAAATAGATGACTGGTTAATTTGTTATAGTGTTCAACTGCGCATCAACTTGAATTGAGTGAATCGCAGAAACCATCGATATTGAAGGCTAGGGTTGCAGAAACCACACTTCTACAGTTTTATGCCAGAAACCTCTAACTCCGAGGCTATTTTTTTTTTGCAAAAAACACCAGTCGTCCACTTAGGCCATTTTAAGCATGATTATGACAAGTGGGTCCCACCGGACAGGGTGACATGACACGACATAATGGATAGCAAATAGACAAAATTGCAGGGACTAAACTGTAAAATAAACTAAGAGGATAAGGTCATTTGTTTAAAGAAAGAAAAGAGAACAGCCAACCCCTTGGATGCTCACTGCCCTGCCTGGCACGACTCTTCACTTACCACGCTGCCCCGGCAGGCCCCACCGCCAGAAGCCACTTCCCCCGCCGCTGACAAGCCTGTATGCGCTCACGTGGCCGCCCTCCTTCCCCGGTCCGCCGCCCCTCCCTCCCCCCAGATTCGACCGCATCGGGCCCCCGCTATCGCAAGCCGGACATTGGGCCATCGCCGTGGCCTCCACCCCTCGCCCCTCCGGATCCGGCGGGCACGGTCGCTTGTCTACCACGTGGCGGCGCAAACAGCTACAGCTGGCCCTCAAGCACCAGAAGAACCCTTGCCCGCGCTACATTGCCCAGCCGTCCTAACGGACAACACTGCCAGATCCTCGCCGTTTTTGTCTGTCCTCGACCATGCCGGGCCGCCGGAGCAAGCAACAGTCGTGCTGACCACGCACAGGGAGGGAATGGCCGCCAGTGTCCGCCACCGGACCGGTGGGAGACGAGGTACTTTTGCAAAATAAAATTGTATCGGGATGTAATTGACTTTTTTTGCCATGGAATCCCTGTCCAGCGGAACCCACCTATCATAATCTTGCTTAAAACGGCCTAAATGGGCGACTAGTGTTTCTGCAAAAAATTAGCTTCAGAATTAGTGCTTTTTGGCACAAAATTGTAGAAGTGTCGTTTCTGCGACCATAACCTTTAATGTCGATGGTTTCTGCAATTCACTCCCTTGAATCAGTTGAGCTGGATACTTTAGTGCACATGGAAGAAGCTAGTACCAGAGATCGGTTCAGTTGCAAACTCCGGTACACATGGAGACTTGAGTGAATTTGCATGAGTTGAATTTGTTAAAGAAATATTCTTCAAAATCATACAACTCCATCTACTATTAAAAAATCACAAGAGAAATAGCCTCCGATAGTAACATAAAACAACTGACAATTTGTGGGTAAATGACATGATGAACATGGGAGAGTAATGAAATTGCACAAAAAAATGTCTCGCTCTCATGGGTGCAGCATTACATACACGAGTATTTCAGTTCTGGTCAAAAAGTCTGCGCCGGGATCTGGCCACCCATGCCTCCTGGGTCGCCTGGATGTGCGGCTCCGGGGGCCTCCCAAACCCTAGGTCGAGGAGGCCCTCAGATCCCCTCCCCTCCGGCCGCTGCCGCCGCCGAGGTTGGCGGCCGCACTCGGTCGATGAAGGTGGCGGTGCTGGCTGAGCCCCCTCGGTGGCCTCCCTTCACGTGGAGCGGGCGTCTCCTGGGTAGCCATGGTGGTGGAGCGGCCGGCGGCGCATTTCGAGGTGATGGCTGTCGAAGCACGACGAGGAGCTCGACGGGACGGTGGTTCCTGGCGATTTAACAGTCACCTACCGGTTACCTTTGTAACTATAGCAAAGTAGCTGTACAACAGAATGCCCTCCGCCTTTAGTACTTTTATATATATATATTATACATTATGTTATATACTAAATGTGTCAAAGAAATAGAACTTATTGAACAAAAAACAAGCCCATCTTTCTCAAAAAGGAAGAGAGGGGTGCCCCAGAGAGAACCCCATTCTTTCAAGAAAGTGCTAATTAGTTATGTCGAAAAAGAAATAAGGAAAATAGGAGTAAGCGAGTAGGGTCAACAAGATTCTAAATGAATACCACAAGTAACGAAACCGACGGTGATGAAGAGATAAGGGGCGAAGGGGGGAGCGCGGCGGGGCAATGGAGGAGGGTGGTGCGCTGGCACTGCTCGTGGCGGCGGCACGAGCTTAGACGTGGAGGTGGCGGCGCCGAGGAGGCCTGACCAGCAAGGATCCTGGCGGGCAGCGGGCCGTTGGCTGCCTCCATGTGAGGGGCGTCTCGATGTTGCCTCGGGAGAGTTCGTGTCGGGGTGTGGTCGGTGTTGCGGGTTAGATCCGATCTAGTGGCAATCCTTGGTGTGGGTGTGAAGGACGACACGGTGGATCTGGCCCTGACATGGCATGGGTGGTTGTGGCTGCTGCTCGTCTGAGTTGCCGGTGGTGGTCTAGGTCGCGGTCTCTCGGCAGTGTGGGTGGGGGAGGTCCATTGCTGCTCGACTTTGACGACAATTTGCTATGGTGACTGCGATGTGAGGCATCTTGGACAGTGCTGTCTGCAACCTTGGAGGAGTGGAGATGCACGACATTACGAATGAAAATCTTGTTCTATTTTGGCTGGGTCGGCGATGATGGCACCCGTGGGTATCGTTCCCCTCCCTGCAGGCGTCGCTGAGTGTGTTGCCATTTCCCTCGCTTTTGGTGTTGGTAGTTGTCTCCAGGCGAAAGACTCGATTCGATGCTGGATCGGTACGATGGTGGCGTCTTCGACATCGTCCCTTTGTTGGGAGCATCGTGCCATGAGACATGGAGTTCCTATCTTGCGCTCCTCCGGTGTTCGACGCTGTCCTGATCGTTCTTCTCCGGATGGTGAATCCAAGACGGCGCCTTCCTCGGGTCTGATCGAGTCCTGCCAATCTCTTGCCACCTCCTTAGGCATCAAGGGGGACGGTGCGTCAACAAGAGAAGCTTGGCGGGAGCTGATGTTCTTCGGAGGAGAACGATGTCGATCGAGACGCGGCGAGGTTCTTGGTTTTGGGTAGGCTATTTTGTGTTGTAGTTTGTGTTGTCAGGGTGGCTGCCGTTTGACTAGCCGGATGTGAGCTTGTGCTACGCTTATTGTTCACGGCGAGTGGTAGTCGCCTTGTACTTATAATTCTTTTTTTTTTCTAATATATAAAAAACTATGACATGCAATTTGCGTACTCTCAAAAAGGTATTTCAATTCTAAAAGAAACTCTATGTGTATTGGTCAATGACCACACAAAGAAATAAAAAGGCACTGCCATGCATGCCTACTTCTTCCGTGCAAGGTTTTTATTTGCATCCAATAACTGTGTGCCAGATTGGCCGCCAAGGTTTTGATTATGGCGCTACGGATGATCGTGGTACGACTCTACCACCAGGTTAATTAGAACGATCGCTAAATTTGCAAAATTACTGCTTGAATTTGATCGACTGGTAAGAGCCTAGGATGAACTAATCGATCAATAACTAAGAATCACACCGTATTCTCAATTACCAGGAGAGATCGGAAGTACTAGTAAAATGGAGAAAAAGATTAACAAAGTTTGGAACACGCACTGTGCTTCTGCTGCTGTGAGTGCCGGTCAATCAGCCGCCGCCGTCGCGGTGGAGCCTGCCCAGTGCCGGTTAGCCCGTGCCTCCCTGACGACCAGGACGATGAGAGCGCCGATGTGAATAGGAGAAGAATTACTCTACAAGACCTAGGCACAGATTTCGTGGGAGAGAAGAAGAAATAATTGAGCGCTTGAATTTTGTGCGAGGAACCTCGGCTGTCGGCGGCGGCTATACCAGATCGCTAACCCCTTTTTTTCAGGGGTACCCTTTTTTATATACAACATTTTTTATAATATATAAATAACCTTTTTTTTAGGATCATAGGATCAAATCAAATATATAAATAACCAAATCCAAAACTGTCTGCCCGCGCTGTGCGGAATTGTTTCGGCCCAGCCCAATAGGCTGTAGGCGGGGCCTGGGGAAATCTCACGCTGCTGGGCCAGCCCACGTACGGAGAAGTAACGAAATGTCAGCACAGTGTCCCGTGCGGCGCCCGGGCGCGACGCCGCGCTCGGTTTGATCTGCTAAGAAGTTGAGCATTTTTTTTTGCAGTTTTGCCCCTCAAACTCCTCTGGGTGTTTCAATGCCGGCCCCCTTCTCCGCCTGCCGCTTCGCCGCCTGCTGGGTGGTCGACGCCCTCGCCGGCGACGAGGCCCTCGACTTCTCCCTCATCAAAGGTACCATCAGCACTGTGGGAGGACCCTCTGCCTATTCCGACCACCTCGACGCTTTCAATGATCTCACCAAGGGTTATCGGTGCTCCGCAGCGCTGGTGGGCGTCTTGCCGGAGTCCCTCGCGGGCGCACCGGAGGAGACGCGGGAGCGGGTTGCGCTCCGATGCCTGCAGGAGGTCGTCTCCCTCGCCGCCCCGGGCGAGGGCGAGGGCGAGGCCGCGGCGGCGGCGGTGGCGGGTGGCGGGACGCTTAGGGTTGATGCCACACGCCCTTGCGAGGAATTGCTGACTGAGTTGCTCGGACAGGTATGCAGCCCTTTTGTTACCACGTGCATTCTGGTGGTTCATAACTTCAAATTTTTGGTTTACCTTTTGTCATCACTGGAATAATACTTGTGTAGTAAAGTGATTGAAATTTGGTTCAGGCACAAAAGTATAGCAAGATGGAACACACCGTCTCTGCATTTGCTCCTAACTAATGTGCTAGTTAGATTAAATCTTGTCCAGATTCATGATGCAAAGTCAGACCACAACTCATAATCTTAATTCCCTCCTTAAAGAATGCAAAACATGCTCATTCAAGGTTGATTCATCCGGTGGCCGAAATGTAGTCCTTGCAGTTAAAAGTTGGAGACGACGGGCTCCACTATACAGCGAATCAGCAATTGATTCCACGGATGGGGCTTGTTATTTAGTTTTGCATTTCTTCCATAGGTGGTAGAGTTATGTTTTCACTGATTCACAAAGTGATTGTGTTTAGCGACAATAGCCGTGAACATAACAAGAGCATACTTTGCTTATTGTTTGCAGTATGTAATAACATGTGTTTACCAATGACTCAGAATATGGCAGCATTCTGACAGGCATCTCATTTTTGGTATTTAGTCAACAGTAGTGGGCTTTTTTGAGGCTGAAAGCAAGCATACACCTTTAATATGTTATGTTCTCTGTGGAGAACTTACTGCTTGTACCTAATGAGTTGTTCACTGATCCAGTGCTGTAGTTCACCAATGTTGCTAGGCTAGACGATGTTATTATTTGAGCTCATGTTTCTTGTGATATGGAACATGATTATATCCCTTGGCAATTGTGTCTCAAGTCATTCCAAGTGCCAACGCCCAACAGACATTACCTCAGCAAAGGGTATTCTAGCAAGTTATACGTTTACGATGTCCCTAAAGATCATAACAGCATCACTTTACAGTTGAATATTTAAATTCTTTAACTTGTGTAAGAAGCAGGGATGCCATGTTAGATATTGCACATCACATAATTATGCATGTTTCTAATGGTTTCACATATCCGGTGCTCTTTTATGATTACCTCTCCTTATACAAAACAATCATCATATGCTCTGGTGTCTTTAACTTGTGCTAGCTAATACATGCTGCTATTTAGCTAGTGCCCAGATGTTTTTGATTTTTTTGCTTTACATGAATGTAATATCTGCAGGTTGGGAGTTCAGGAAGCTTGGAGAAAGATATGCTTCCACCTTTTAGCAAGGATATCCAAAAGTTTATATGCATCAAGACACCGGCTTTACAAGAAACTTCTTTGGAGTTGGTATGTCAAAAAAGTTATTCTCAAAACTGAAAATAAAAGGACTCGCTTCACGTATGATTAATCTTCTTTTTTTATGTTCAGCTTAGAGAAGTGAAACCCGACATCACGTGTATGGTCCCACCGCCCCCAGTGGAGAAGGGTGGCAAGAACAATGGCAATGACCAGTCGTTGCCCAGTATCAACCCTGATCATCATGTAAATGCAGAGAGGCATGGGTGCCCTACAGATAGTTCTGATTTTCAGCGAGAGAGTGTAACCGATTTTGTCAACGGAACTTTCACAAGAAATGTGCAGAAGGATCCTATGGTGCCAACTCCCGATTTCTGTGAACCATCTACGCTGTACAGTAGGTGTTACGACCGCCCTCAAGAAGATACCATTGGTGTTGGTGTCAGTGTCAGATCCGCACAAACGAGTCCAAGTAGTGATAATAGAAACAGGTCCATTACAGCCGAGCCTGCTTCAGCTACCTGCAGTGCTGCTTTGCTTCGAGGTAATACTGAACTTATGTCAAAGCAGGTTGCGGCGGAGACTACCATGTCCCAAGAAAAGAGTCCAACTACCATTCTTCAACGAGAATCCTGTGGAGACAAGAACAAAAACTCATTCCACGATAATGATGGAGAGAGATCACATGGTAATGGCACCAACATTCATTTATCAAAGAATCTCAGCCATGAAGGATTGACCATGCAGGCTACGGTGGCTCCAGATTCTGACAGAAACACTGACGCTTTACTGGCAAATACATCTGAAACAAGATCCTTGCCTGAGTTTGTTGCTGTGGATGGTACAGGCGTAATTGCAGAACTACATGGCAGAAAAACTCGAAAGAGTTCACCGCAACATGACAGCAGTGAGAAAGCAAGTCATGTTTTGGATGAGGGTAGTGCTAGGATTGAGCCAGTGGAAAAGGATTCTGGTCATAATGAATGGAATCTACGAACTGCTGGTGTTGTACCTTCTGTTAGCTGCAACGGGGCTGTTCAAGGAGATAAATCTGAAACCAACATTCTACAAGAGAATGCTACAGGGCCTTCTAAATTGTTTAAGGAGAAAAATGATAAGGTTCTTCTGGAAGTCAGTTGTGCTGACAAAGCCAATCCAGCACTACATGATGATGGCAACATCTTGGTAAATAATACATCCGATGGTAGGAAGACTGCTCTAGATTCTCGCTGCAATGCGATGGAAACATCAAATGTGCACCGCTCCAATGACAGTCCCAGTGGGTTTGCAGCCACTTGTCTTCTATCATTGATGGGCAATATGCCTTCCTGTAGTCAGGATAAAGATGCCAATGGTTCCACTCAGGACTTTACGGAACAAGATTTGTGCATAAAATGTGGTAAAGATGGACAGTTGCTGAAATGTAGCAGCTGCTCATTAGTTTCTCATGAAAGCTGTTTTGGGTCATCAGTGACATTTGATGTTTCTGGCCAGTTTTATTGCCCTGTATGTTTCTATACTAAAGCTAGCGAAGCATATCAAAAGGCTAAAAAAACATATTTGGAAGCTAGGAAGAGCCTATCTGCTTTCCTTGGCACAAAGCAATTCCCAAAGGAACACCATGAACAATCTACTGGAAAACAGCAAACAGCTACCAATAGCAAGGATCACTCGAATGAGCATAATACATCCAAAAGGCAAGGTCAGTCTGAAGCAGATGTCCCTTCTCATAAGGGTGAAGAACCTGGTGAGCAGAGGAAAAAGCAGAGAACAAATGATACAAGTGATGTACATCCTGAAGAGGGTCAGCTGAATGGGTGTGATGCTTCCAAAAGGCAAGGTAACCATCAGTCCGATACATATAATCTTTCTCATAAGGAACCTGGTCAGCAGAGGAAGAAGCAGAAAACAAATGCTACAAGTGACGCTTGTCCTGAGGGCGTAATCGCTCAAAAGGCATCTTTTGGTCTGAATTGTGATATTGCACCCAATAAAGATTGTGTACTCCAAAATAAAAGAAAACAAGTTGAGCAGTCTGTGGAAGGTGCAGAAGCCCATGAAGATGGTAATGGCAATTCATTTTATGATGCGCAACATTCATCTCAGAATAGACGCAGTCCTGTTGCCAATCAGAGTGTTGAGGCTGAAAAACATGACAGTCTTACAAATTCTCACGACCCCAAAAGTTCCGATGAAATAGAAGCCACATCTTCAAATAATTCTGGCCATCGGTCGTCGCCTCCTTGGCGAAACATGAGACGCCACAAAGCAAGATCCCAAGAAAAGGAGACAGTGGTATCTTATAATTCTAAAAAAGCATTGCGATGCCAGGATCAGCAGATGCCTTCACCATCAAGCAAACGATATCAACCCAAGCGTTAGTAAGTGTTAGGAAGGAGCTTCATAAGCACTTCTTTCCCCGATCATGTTCTTTGGAGTACTTAAAAATATCTGACTGGTTGACCTATAATCAAACGACATTGAACATCTTCATTTAGACTTGTGATAAGTAAATCTCTATAGTCGATCTGAGATAAAAAACAGCTGTAGGGTGGATGTTTGTGAGACCGAACTTACTGAGTTCCAGTGCTCTTGCACAAGCACTTTCTATTATTTGTTCAGCACCGTAGATAGTATGATGCTAATTAGCTTCGAGATGATCAAAACTTTAGGAGATTATATCTCTAATCGGACTTGCCACTCTGTTTCATGATATTTGATATAGAGGAAAGTCAGCCTCTTTATTCAGGGTCAATTTCAAATCCGCAAGGGCTTTTGAGAATTCATGGTTACAATGAAGTTACATATGTGATAGTGAAGTTAGACTCTATTTAACTGAATATGTTTTCCAATTATTGTGAAACTTTATATATTTGGAAGTGTACATTATAATAGCGTCTGCTTTTGTAATTCCAGAAACTGAGCCATATATGTCTTTGCAGCTGTAATTCTCCTGCACCACCTGGAAGGCGCCCAAAGCTCTGTTGGACAGAAGAAGAAGAGCAAGCTTTGAGGGTATGCATACCCCAGGCTGTTAACTGACATTACTGATGCTAAAATCTTATGCCATCTTCTGCTAAATTTCCTATTTACTAACTTGTATGTAGTTGTGTTCTTGCTAGCATGCTAACATCACACCATTGGCTATTCTGACTCAGGATGCAATGCTAAAGTTCACCCCAAAGGATGATGCACCAATTCCGTGGACTCAGATATTAGAATATGGCAAGGATACATTTCACAGGTCACGCCTTGCGAGTGATCTGAGAGTCAAATGGAGGAATATGAAGAAAAAATCAGGATCCTAGTACTGATCAACTTTTGCCTCAAAAAGGTACTGACCATCTGGCACCTAGTGCAGCTATTGTGCCATGCTTGCCTAACCTTTCATTCACCTCTTCGAGCCAGCTCTTGTCCATTATCTTGTAAGACTGTACATAGTTTGTAATGCTGGCTTCTGCCCCATGCTCCTGGATGAAACATGTAGATTGCAAGCATTACATCTTACTAGGGGGCTTCATAAGCCTCTGTTATCTGTTAGTCTGTTGTTGTGGGTATAGGGTTATGTAAAAAAAACTGTAGTTTTTCCCGGCAAATAAGCATATAGTCACCGTCACAATTTCCAATAGGAAAAGGCCACTACACCATCTGGCACCTAATTACAAAACGAAGTTCCAAAGACAGCACCAACAGGTCTTCACACAATCGTGCCTATTGGCCACAAAACAACAAATGTTGAGAAGTTTCAACCTGGTCATGAAATGAGCACATAGGATTACCAGACCATTTTCCTTCCTCATCACCTCCCTAGTTAGGGGAGTATCACCAAAGAACTAGCCGTGGACAGGGGTGCGTGGGAGCTAGCTATCCATGTGCCAGAACCATGAGTTGGTTGCGAGATCTTATGGGTTTCAGTTCTAGCCTACCCCAACTTGTTTGGGACTGAGGGCCTTGTTGTTGTTGTATCACCTCCCTAGTTAGAACAATATCTTGGAAGAACCACCACAAGAACATTTAATTTTCAATGGAATTTCGGCATCCCTAATCTACTTGTAATGACCCCCAGCCATGTTACTCTCCAAACATTTATACATGGATTTAGTAGTAAGAATATATTTCTTGGCAAAAGCCCACCATATCTCATTAGGTTTAGGGTCAAGAGGAACGGTAGTAGTAGAAACAGGCATAGTGTTCCATTGCTGAGCCAAATTAGGAGACAATCTCCTTCCTGTTGATTTTTTTTACAGCACACTCAGGTTTATCGCAAATGCTGAAAAGTAGAGGGAACTGTTCACACATGGGAGGTTGGCTATTCAATGAATTTTGGTAAGTATAACAATATTACTAGGGAGAGGACTAGTTAAGGGAGACATGCAACTGTGCCCAGGAGGCTGAGATGTTCAGGTATGCCGACGAGCTCAAGGCCACCTGCACGTAGACTAATTCCCCTCCTGGATCCGTTTCGAAAAAGAAAATTCCCCTCCTGGAAATGACTAATTCAGGCAAATATGATGTGCTGGTTATTTCATTCTACTTTTTTTTTTAATTGAGGGGGCACACCCCGATTTCATTTCATTGAATGAAAGGAAACCGAATAAACAGAGTCATAAAAAAATTTGTTTCTCAGCCCCAGACACCCTACCTTGGCCTCCAGGGGGAGAAAAGACTAAAGAAGCACTATGGGAGAAATGGTTACCACACAGGGCTCCATCCCCTACCCTCATTTTCCAAGCAGTGACAGAGCTTAGAACAACCATACTATCCAGACAGAGACTACAAGATATTCCAGTGAAGAAAACTCAAAACATAGAAAAGCTCTCAACCCACTCCCAGTCAGTCTTTGTCATTGGCGCCCATCCTCTGCTCTTGTTGAAGAAGCCATTTGCAACATCAACCAACAACGCCGCCATGTCGCGCAGCTTCTGTTGCTGTAAGCCAGCCCAGTATGACATCCAGTAAGCTATTTGGAAAAACAGCACACTCGGATCATGCGGGTAAATGTGATGAAAAGTGGCAGCGTTTCTAGCTTTCCATAAATACCAGAATACCGCCGCTACACCCATTGCTACTGTTTGTCTCATCTTCTTAGGAAACATCTCTATCTAGCTGCTGAACTCTTCAATTTTGCAAGGAATATCATAAATAGCAGTGACATTCCTAACAACCCCCCACACAAACTTGGCTACCACACAAGTGCAAAAAAGATGCTCCACGGTTTCAGAATGATCACAGAAACTGCAACTTTTATCTTTACCTTTCCAGTTTCTTTTAGCTAAATTATCTCTAGTCAACACACTGTTCCTGAAGATCAACCAGATGAAAACTTTAACTTTTAGAGGAATCTTAGCTTTCCATAGATTTCTATGAGGCCAATCTACCTGATTAGTTTTAAGAGCTAGATATAAGGATTGAACGGAGAATTTTCCTGATCTAGTTAACAACCAACTACACTTGTCCTCCTGATCATTCAAGGTTACACTGCTGCAGATGCTTTTCAGCTCATACCACATATCAGCAGTGTCCCCCCACAATATCCTTCTAGTAAATCTTATCAAGTTCATGTTCTCGGATAAGGCTTTAGCAACAGTAAAATTAGCACTGAAAGTTAGGGCATACAATCTAGGGAATTGCACACGGAGATGTTTGTCTCCCAGCCAAATATCGCTCCAGAACATAGTTCTCTCTCCATTACCCACTATTTTTCTACTATACTGTAGGAAAATAGGGTTGACTCTCATAATCCCTTGCCAAAAATGAGACTGCCCAACCTTCTTTTTACACCCCCTAAGAGTACATTTGCTCAGGTATTTCTTCCTTACTAAATCTTGCCATAGTCCATTATTATTTTCAAGTTTCCATATCCACTTACAAAGTAGTCAAATATTCATTATATCCAAATCTAAAACACCTAAACCTCCCATCTCTTTAGGTCTACACGCATCCTCCCATTTCACTAAATGATATTTCTTGACATCTTCCTCTCGCCATAGCATTCTTTTCATGTAGAAATTCATTTTCTTACTAGGTCCTTTAGGTAATTCGAAGAGAGAAATCATATAAAGGGGAATATTGCACAAACTGGAAGTAATTAGTATTAATCTACCCCCATATGATCTATTTCTACCTTTCCAAACACTCAATTTCTTCTCCATCTTCTCCTCAGGCCAATTCCAATCACTATTACATAGCCTCACAGCATTAGCAGGTAACCCTAAATACTTAAAAGGTAGTTTACCAACAGCACAAGTGAAAATACTAGAATAACACTCTTGTTTCTCTTTAGCCTCCCCAAAACAAAAAACCTCACTTTTATGGAAGTTAACTTTGAGACCTGAAAGTTGTTCAAACAGACAAAGAACCAATTTCATGTTCCTAGCACTCTCCAGATTATCCTTAAACATAAAGATAGTGTCGTCGGCATATTGTAACATACTGATCCCATTTGGTATTAAGTTTTGCACTAGGCCTTGGACCAGATCCAAGTCTTGAGCTTTTAATATGAGCAAGTTAAGAATATCAATAGCAATATTAAACAAGATTGGGGACAAAGGGTCTCCTTGCCTCAGTCCTTTTTCGTTTCAAAAAAAGGACCAATCTGGTCGTTCACCATAACAGCTACCTTACCCCTCTGACCCTCTCTACTGTCTGTTTGACCCATTCTCTATATTTAGGAGGGGAACCCTTCTTTTCCATGACAAAATACAGAAAATCCCAATTAATTTTATCATAAGCTTTTTCAAAATCTACTTTAAAAAACACAGCACTCTCTTTTTTCCTATGTACTTCATGCAATATTTCATGCAACACAATCACCCCATCCAGAATGTATCTACCTCTAATAAAGGCTGTCTGGACAGGAGCTACAACTTTATCTGCTACAGCAATGGCTCTATTGTTGAGCACTTTTGTAAAAAATCTTAAAAATCACATTTAGTAAGCAAAGAGGTCTGTACTGTTGCAAAGTCTGAGCATCAGCACATTTGGGAATAAGTGCAAGAACCCCATAGTTAAACCTAGCTAGATCAAGCTTCCCATTGTAAAAATCGCAGAAAAGATCTAAAATATCTACTCCTATGATATGCCAGTACTTCTGATAAAACTCTATAGGCAGACCATCAGGTCCAGGAGCTTTGTTGGTTTTCATCTCAAACACAGCTTTTTTTATCTCATCTAAAGTAAACTCTATCTATATCATCCAGTACAACTGGCATGTCAATTTCAAGGGAGATATTAGATATTTTCTCTGCAGGCCCAAATAAAGCTCTTATAGTCTTATAGAAAGCAGTCGCAAAAAGCAGCAAGTCTTTATCTCCTTGGATTACCTCATTACAATTATTATCAAGGGAAATAATCCTATTCTTTCTTTTCCTACTACTAGCTTTAGAAATAAAATAAGCAGTTAATGCATCTCCCTCTAACAATTCTTTTTCTTTAGATCTCTATAACCATTGGATTTCCTCTTATGAATCTTAGAAAGTTCCTCCTCCAGATTCTTACGTAAGATGTATTTGTCTCTAGTTAAACCTATATTCTCACTCTCTATCAATCTCATCTATAGATTTCGTAAGAAAAACTTTCTGTTTTTTGTAAAGCCACACGTAATTAAGGTTCCACCCTTGAGTGTTCTCCGAAAAAACTCTAGCTCTCTTTTGCCACTGATCTTGTAAAGACTTACCATAGTAAGAATTACATAAAACACCAATTACTACCGCATCTAGATCCTCTCTCAAAACCAGCACAATTCAAATTTAAAAGGTTTAGTTATCTTAGGCAAATTCAGACCAAAATCTAGTAGTAAGGGAGCATGGTCAGACAAAACTCTAGGAAGAGCTCTAAGGAACATCAGCGGAAAAATGCTCTAAAACGATAAAAGTTTCTCAAAAACTGGATTATCTTGGTTATTAGACCAAGTAAACAATCGACCATTTAATTCAACTTCCTTCATCTCCCAGTTCTCAATAATAACATTAAACAGATGTGACCATTTATTTAAAGGTTTATTTCTATTAGATTCTCCTCTTTTTTTAATGATATTAAAATCCCCTCAATAAAAATGGGAAAAGCATTAACATTACATATATGGACTAATTCAACTAAAAAATATTCCTTATCTTTTTTGTGTGGGGCACCATATACATTCACTATGTTTAAAAGCTCTCCATTTTTTCTATCTCTAACCAAAAACCTAATATGATGGCTGCCTTTTTCAGATTCTACAACATCATAAAAAACAGTGTTAACACCACACAGCAACCCTCCTGACTGTCCCACAGCAGGCGCAAACCACCAGGAAAAAGCACTACTACCA